TGTAACAACCCTGGCAAAATTTGAACTCTGGCAGGTAGCCACATATCACACACACACACAAAAGGGTGCTGAAAAGCTAATGATCAAATATAGTATATTATTTTTTTTCTAATCTACTTTTGATTTCAAACAGTTCTGCCAACATATTTGCATCTGTAACATCTTTATTTATCACAAATCAACACATTTGCATGTGTGTGTATCAATCTGTATTTTCTTATGCTGAACATAAACAGATTGGCCCATGAACAAATTTATCAGAAAGTTAAATCTACTCTCTTTATAAACTTTATATGTATGAATGTGTGTACACACACATACATTTAATAAGTGAAAGTTGAAAAAAGATATATTGTGTGTGTGTTCATATGCATGTATATATCCTCAAATTCACACAAGTGTAACTGAAAGATATACAGACATAGTGTTTTCTCATACATATTAGAGAAAAATGTTAAAAAAAGATAAATGTGTATCATATATATGTAAAGAGAAAAGGAAAACTTTTCTTTGCCAAGACATTTAGCCCTGAAGATCTTTATAAATGTGGAAATTTTATTTTACAACTTATATTTATAACCAGAAGTAAGGTGGAGGGAAAATAATAATACTTTAAAATATTCTTAAAACCAACTGTGTAAAGTAAGGTAAACTATGGAGGAAAATAAGTGATGCAATTTATTGCCTAACTTTTTTTTAATTATTTCACCCCCAAGCAAGGCAATAAAGCCACTAAGATGCAAAGGGTTACTGAGTGTGAAAGAATGAGAGAAAGAAAATATTAAAGAGAGAGAACAATAAAAGAAGATAATGACTGATATTGCATTTAAAAGCCAGAGTAGAATTACAACCATCAAATGTTGTGCTAACACCACCTCTATTTTCTTCTTTCTTAAAATTTTAAATTACTGAATTATCTTCTCTAAGAGTTTTAAATTATTGTTAAGTTAAAATGCCAATCAAAGTAAATATTTGGCTGATGAAGAGAATAGAAATACAGAAACATGTATCTATATAATATATATGTCATATCTATTGATATACTCAGATAGGTATAAATATGAAAAAAGATTATATACACACACATGGATGTATAAACACAAATTTGCTGACATTTTCTTGCAAAGATGCATGTGATTTTTATAAGATTCTTTCATTTTGTGTAAAAATATTTAATCAGACAGAAGATGCAGTATCCTGCAAACTCTAATCAGACATTCTGAAGATGAATGGAACTTAAAGATGAAGAAGAGACTCAAAGCAACAGAGGTATGGTTCTACAGAAGGATGCTGAGGATACTATGGATGGAACATGTGAGCAATGATGAGGTTTTGGAGAACATGCAAACAAAGAGGAAACTTATACTTAACATTAGGAAGAGGCAGCTGAAATTTCTGGGACACATACTGAGAAGAGAGGGCTTGGAAAATCTGATACTCACAGAGCAGATAGAGGGACAAGGGCCTGGGAGAAATAACAAAAAGATAAAACTTATGGAGAGCTATGATCACTTATGTTCTGAATGGACATGGCACATAAAAGAAGAATCACTCAATTGCAAATGACAGGAATTTCTGCTGCTAGTTGGTTAAACACTGTTAATTTTTATTGAAGTATAAAAATCAAATCAAAAATAAATTTTGTTAATCTTCTGTTCCAGATGATCTAAATTCATTCCTCCAGGAACTTTATGCATAGAAAGTGTGATAGAGAAAAAAGAATTCTAGAATTTTTATCAGCACAACATCTTTACATTATGTCTGAAACACATTTACCAGTGTTTACTTTTCCTTTTTTGTTTTCTTTCTGTAGTTGCCTAAACTAAACCTGACTGCTTCTGTTAATTCATTTTCTAAACAAAACTCTTGTGGCAGGAACTTGACTAAAGTACATTGTAGAGCCATCAATTTGATTATTGGAAAAAAATAAATTATCCTCAACATCTGTCAAAACTAGCAACAAAAGTTTTTCCCAGTCAGCATTGTTAATACAACACAATGGCTGACAATTCTTATTAACTAATCAATGATTGGATGAAAAACACAGATAATTAGGACCAATCAAGAGTATTCATGATCTAAGCTAAGTAGAGAAGTCTCCTTTTGTTGAATGACAAATATTCTTTGTAGAAGAGAATAGCAAATAGTTGTTTCAGCTCTAAGATAATGGTCAGATTTGAGTACATGGTCACTGTAAAATTTTTGCAAATCATTTTAATGTCAGGCCACATAACTAGTTGGGATGCAGACCAAACAATTCCTGAAAACTATTATAATAGAAAAGTTTTTCATTCAAGTGTTGAATATTGTTTAATGAATGGCTTTTTAGTTGAAATCAATTGGAATTACTGTATTCAATAGTATATAAAGCTCCTCCACATCTCAGCAGAGAACATTCTAAAGTGTTTAATGTTATTGAAATATGTAGCAACAGTATAGTTGTTCAGAAACTGTGCTTAAACAAAGATATTCATCTTAGAACACCTAGGTTTAATTTTATGAAAACTCTTTTTGATTCAAGTATACATAATAATAATAATAATAATGATAATAATGTTACAGTATTATGGAATTATTTAGTCTATATCTTTTTGGTAAACATGATACTACCAGATACCTCAACTTCATATATAAAATTTGGGATATTTTTTAAAGAGAAATGAAGTGCTTTTCATATGACAGCAAATATGGTAGAAATTTTGATTTTCAGTGGTTTTAGCATAAAATTCTTCAATAGTATCAATGAAATTGGTAAAGATAGTTTTTTTTTTCTTTTTTCATTTCAGTTTTTCAGTTATAATAAAATATACTCAGTAGAATGGCAAAGGTTCTAACTTTTTGCTAATATTCTAACAGAATAAAAAGCTAAAGATTAAAAATTCCATCAACAACTTATTAGACTACACATATAGCAAGGATGACAATATGTATTTCCATACAGCAAACATTTGGCATTTGTTGACTGAATAATTCACATTACTCTGGGTTGAAATTTATAAAATCTTTCTTTTTAAAATAGTTTTTCAGAAAAATAGATTTCAAAACAACTGTTACCACTCTTTCTAGTATTGACACAAGTTTCCTTCCTAACCTTTTGTTTAAGTTAGTGAGGAAAGTCAACATCTTGATTATATCATTCTAGTTACATGTACTATGCATTTTAGTTGTTGCCACTGCTGGAAGTCTTCAAGCGATATGGTTTTCATTATTTGGTAAATCTTTGTTTGGGATTCTGTAGAGCCAGTCTGTAAGATCTGAAAAGGATAGTGTTCTTTAAAACCTTCATTTGAAGCCATTTTTAGTCAATGATTTGACAAAGTGGTTCTATGTACATGATAATATAGGCATTTCTGAATGAGTTGGATGCCATGCATAACATCCCTATGAGAAATCTATATCTGATGAAGCTATTTAATAGCATAACTCAAGTCAGGTTAACATTTTGGTTTTTTAGCATTTATAGTTAATCAGATCTTTGTTGAAACTATCTGGATAAAATACTGCTTAACAAAATTCGAGTGAACTAGGCTGTTTATTTTTTACCTCATATGAAGTTTCAAGGAGCAAATACTATTTTTCTTCCAGTGCTATGGTATATTCACAACTATTTTTGATTATTTCCCATTACAATGAGAAAATGAAAGAAAGTATGAAGATTTTATACTTGGTTGTTAAAGCTTGTTATATATATATATATATATATATATATATATACACACACCATATTCATTCAGGCCAATATAGATCATAGCTCTTCAGTTTCTTTTTATGAACCCCCAATTGTCATTGTGGTACTCATTCCTCCATCGTACCAAGCATGTTACTCATTATTTTCTTCTGTTTCTATTTTCAATGTGCCTTTGTATTATGTTTTCTAAACCTAAATTTATCAGCATATGTTAAATGATTGCTTATAAACTAATATAATATTTTAAAAAAATAAATTTAATAACTGATAATTTTTATTAAAAACACAAATTTACATGATCTTTTTTTTTCCAGATGAACAAATTTACTTGTAGAATTTCTAAAATTTTCAGAAGCACAGTTAGAACCACTACATTTAAACAATCAATCACTATACTTGTAAAATATACACTTTGGCTTGATTACTACTGTTTTAATTTGGAGTCTATAAATAGGCTTTTAGATTCATGTCTTTTATAAAGTAAATTTTACACACTTAGTATGTATATAAAAGGATTAAGTTCAATGTCTTCACAGTCAACTACTTTGAGTTCTAATTATTTATAACTTCATGGGTTTTTAAATTATTTAACTAATGTGCAACAATTGTAGATGTAACCTTAGCTAACTCAACCAAAAGTCCTATGCTCACATCATTGAGTCACTCTTGTAAGTGTTTCTTGTTCCTTCCAGTTGAAATAAAGAGAAATAATCAATAGAAATGTAATAGCAATATAAGAGAGAAACAAATGTAGAAATATAGAAAATAAACTTTCTTAAAGCCTTAACATCTAAGAATACAATCAGCGTAAGATTTTCTAATCTTCATTTCCATTGCTTTTTTTCTGAAAAGAATTATCAACAATGTTTGGGACAATGTAGCTGACAAAAGCAGTGATCACCAGCAGTATTATTTTCTTCATATTGTGGAAGACATTTGACAAGAGGCAGAAGTGTTAAAGTGTTGGGAAAATTATGATCCTCATATTTCATTGTGGGAGACATTTGACTGAGGCAGATGAGATGAAGAACAAGAAAATTATGATCTTTGTGTCCCATTGTTGAAAAGATTTGATTGAGGCAGAAATCAGAATGATGGAGAAGGGAAAAAAGGAAATTAAGGAAAGTGGGGAGAGTTGGGGAAGGATGTGTAAAGTGGAAATCAGTTTGAGAAAGCTTTTATGTTTGATTGAATAAGATAATGATGATGATGATGATGATATTAATGAAATAATAAGAGTTTTGATTGGATAGGCAAAGAATAGGTCTAGCGAGAATATGATTGAATCAAGAGAGAAAGGGAAGAGCAAAGTTTAAATGAAATAAACAAAGAAAGATAATGAAAAAATATATATGTGTAAAGAGAAAGAAAGTGAAAGAAAAAATACAGAAAGGAGGAGGAGATTATGGAGAGAGTGTGATGAAAAATGTGGATATAGAGAAAGAGGAACAATTAGAAAGAAGTGAGAGATAAGTGGAAGGAAAAGGAGAGAAACTGAAAGATTTCTAGAGAAATGGCAGTAGGGCAGAGAAAAAGATAAATATAAAATACATCTACTTGAATGAAAAAAATAAAGAGTTAGAAAAAAAGAAAAGGGAGAAGTTACAGAATGATGTGAGATAATACCAGAAACTAAGAAAAAGTAAGAAAAAAATATTAAAAGTACAACTGAATTAAGAGAGGAAGGGAGAGAAGAATTAAAAAAAGAAAACGAAGAAAAAGAAGATAGTAAAAATCAAGTATGGTAAAAGGATGGAGTTGTAAAAGGGAGATCAGAAAAGGAAAGAAAGACAGACAGAAATTTGTGAAAATCAAAAAAGAAGGAAAGAGTAAATGCGATGATAGAATAAATACAGAAATGGAGAGAAAATATAAAAATAAAGTAAAAAAAAAAAAAATAACTTGTAGAAATAGAAGTGAACCAACATCACTGAAAGACTTGAAAAAGTAAAATTAGATCAGATGTTAGGAATATAAATTGATCACCCAATGCTAGCCAAGAGACCAAACCAAGTTATCATGAGCTAAGATAAGACTTGTCATATAGGGAATTTAACTGCCCCAACAAATTACGGAGTATGAAAAACTGAAAAGATATCTGGAACAAAAGAATAGAAAAAAAATTGAAATTTTAAGATAACAGTTGTACCCATCATTATTAGCATTCTTGGAATAGTCTCAAAGAACTTTACAAGAAAACTGGAAGAACTGAAAATTCAAGGAAAAAATGAAATCCTTGACAATATTAGTCTGACTGGTAAGAATAATCATGAGATTACTAATATACTGAAGAGAATTGTGGTTATTTTGTGTCCAGTGAAAGCTGTGTAAAAACACACTGACAACAAAAAAGTAATGTAAGAAAAGCAGACAGATATCTATTTCAAATGACTTGTAAATTTCATGTAAATTAATAAATTTATATCATTCTGCAGGACTTTCAAAGGTTCCACACAATGCATAAAGAAAATGGTAATTTCTCTGAGACAGAACAATTAAAAAGAATAAAAATATCAACAGTCCATTTGAGGTGTAATTTGAGAAAGCATAAATCTCTGATATGAAGCTTATCAATATTAGATAACAACATGGGCTGTCATTTTTGACAGCATCAGTAAAGTTTTTACTGTTATTAGAAAGTTTTCACATGTGAGTTGTTAATTATGTTTACCAATTATTAGCGTTGTACTCTGCTCTTTCACCATGTCAGTCTAACTATCAGCATTGTAAACATCTTTGAACAGTCCACCAATTTTATAACAAAATCACTACCACTTGATGTCAGCAGTGCAAGGAAGACAACTTTAGTAGAGCGAAAAGATACAGACAAAAATATAGAAATACACTTTGTCTATTACTATATGAAACTTTTAATATGATAGGCTAATTATGATGCATAATCTGAAGCAAATACCAAGGACTGATGACTGAGAAAAATTCATATTGAAGGATGCATCAATAAATCTGTAACTTGACAGTTATTAACTGAAATTTTGACCTGAAATTTCTCCTGTATAATGTTTGATCAATATGATTAATGGAGAACGACTTGATTATGTTTTTTACTATCATTAGAGCACGTACCCATGTATGTAAATTAATTTTTAAAATCTTCTTTTATATGCTGTGTCATGCTATAAGCTTGGATGTGTTGGTGGAGTAATAGATAACAGCTGGGAATTGGTAATCAGAGAGTTGTTTCAATTCTAGTCATTTCCGCTACATTCACTTACATGCAAATACACTTAGGAAAGGTATGAATCCATATCTTTTCCACTAGCTATGGGTTAAACAGTAGGACTTGTATAAGTAAATCATTATTACCCAAAATTCTTACAATCCTAAAATATTTTCTAGCTTTAAATAACCTGCAAAAAATTAAGCTGTAAAAAAAATCAATCAGTTTATATTCTATGTCCCTTTAGAACATAGACAATCATGGCTGTCCATAATTTCCGATCTTCTGTAACTTTAAGCAATGTTTGTCTCTTTACTATCCCCACCCCACCAAGTCTCTGTTCTGCCATCTATTTACACAAGCTTTTTTGGTATGTTACTTGCTGCTTCCTTTTTGACTGAACCTATCTCTCTTCAGGCTGGTTTTGAATTCAGAGATTTCTTTCTTCAAGACTTGTTGCTACCTGATGGTAAGAGAGCACAACCTACCCAGCTATTTAACTCATAGCTTGGGAGAGAAGAGATGGATTTATACCTTTTACTAAGGTTATTTGCATGAAAGTGAATATAACAAATACCAATGGAATTTGAATGTGGCCGAGTTTATTTCCTTCAAAATAGATTTAGGTTCCCTTAAAACATTGTTGAGGTAAAAATCAGACATTGCTTTTACCTCAGCTCTATTTTATATCACTTTTACCTGTGTTAAAATGGATCTAACAGTAGCAAATTAACCAATGTTTATATATATATATATATATATATGCTAATCATTGGAGCATTATGGTTAGAAAGGTCAGTTATATCCAGTTTATTGTGTAATATGTACACACACAAACACACACACTTCACTTTGGGAATTATATGTGTGCATAAAACCAAACAGTACACAAAATGAAGAGAATAGAATCCTCAAAGATCTTCCAATCAGTTAAAGAAAGAAAAGAAATGAATAAAAATAAGTAAAGCAAAAACAATAAAACCATTTTAAAAGAGTTGAAAACACATGTAAGGTGGTTCATCAACATTTTTACTTCTTTTTATTGAACAATATTGATTACAATATTCTATTTCTTTTTCAAAAGACTTTTTTGTCTTCTTTGAAAGGAATAAAGATGGATGGAAGGAAGGAAGGAAGGAATGAATGAAGCAGGAGGTTGACTGATTTCTGACTAGTGTCTGATAGAGTAATTACAACTAAATTCTCTTTTTTTTAAAAAATGTTTTTTGTCTCTCATTTCCAACACTGGTTTCATTACACATTCCTTATTCAGTGTCTCTACCTCCTACCCGCTTCCCTAACTTATCTATTCTTCAACAACACATCTGTTACCAAGGAAACTGCATCAGACAGAAAGATTTGAAGAGTGGGATGAAGGTACAGGGTGTGTCTGAGATGAGTGAAGGTTATCGAGAACAAGGAAAGAGGTTACCAGCAGGAGAATGACAACCAACCTGTCAACCTAAACAATTTTTGTACCAGGGGAAAAATGGATTTTAACTTAGAAATAATTAAAAACTAAAACCTGTATCAGAAGTTTATCGTGAAAATTTAAAACCAAAGAAAAAAAGAAGAAATTAATAATTCATGTTAGGGAATATTATATTAGTTATCATCTAATGGAGATTTATAACTTACAGATATCAAGATTGTTTGAAATAATAGACTGACTGCCATGTAGAAGATTCTTTTGACTTGATTTGGATTTGTGTTTTCTTTCCATTGACAAAGAAATTTAAGAATCTTTCATCTTATTAAATTGAAAAGAGCCCCATTTATTGAATCTAATAGGAAAATATCCGACATGTGTGCAAAAATCTGCTGAATAACATTCTTTGGAACTTTTGAGATAAGGCATTATTATTATTATTTAATACTTTTTCCTATTTGAACCAGCATGCTTATTATATCTCTTATGGTTTAAAGCATTGGTTAAAATACACCTGGTTATCTAGCAGTTATAAGTTCAATCTCTGAGACTAGTAGTCATATATTCTTTTTATGGGGAAGAAATGAACAAGAGACACAAAAGTTGATGAGTATTAATTGATATGAAATATTCTCTAAGCATGGGAAGCAGAATGAGAACAACCTACCCTTGTAAAGTGAATAAAGGGTTCAGTTTGAAATCCCAAGTAGGTTACTAAGTACAAAGACAGAGACCTGAAAAATGTAGGAGGGTACAATATCTGAAAAGTTGTGAGTTTAATAATGAAGCTGAGCATTCTGGTAGGCATCTGAAGAAGGGTCAGAGGTTCAATGACCAAAATATTGTGATTATAACACTTAAGATGAGTATTCTGGTTCAAATAGCAAAGCATCTGGAGAAGGGTCAGTAGTTTGATGACCAAAATGTTGTGCATATAACACACTATCTGAGCATGTGGGTTGAAACAGCAAGGTATAAAATCTGCCAAATATTAGTCAGCAAGAAAGAGCAAGTGACTGGAGAGAGTGAATTTTAAGAGACAGAGGCTGAGGAGAGAGAATAATAATAATAGATAAAGAGTGTAGAGAGAGAGAGAGAGAGGGAATAATAGTAGATAAAGAGAAAGACAATGGAGAGAGAGAGCATGGTATTAAAGAGAGAGAGAATAGTAATGTGTATAAAGAAGGAACCATACATACTATAAGTTATTTTAAGTATTATATGCCCTTGACATTTTCACAATCACTTTTATGCTGACAGTATGAAAATATAATTATAAAAATAACTGACGGTGAAATGATAATTGATTTCAACTTCAAAGTAAAGGAATAGAAATCTTATAAAAGTCATTTTGGTATCTATAAATAATGTACTGTTTATTATCTTTTGGAAAATTGTATAAAAGATAGAGAAATGTATTTTTCCAAAATAAGTATGCATGTTTTGAATTCCTCTAACTCAAAAAGTTTAATTTGTAACTTAAGTTCCCTGCAACTCCTAAAAATAGTATATATGAGGGGGGGAGCACTGAAAAATTTTGAACTACCTCACTTCCCAAAATCAGATCAAATGACCAAACATCAGAATTTCTTTATAAAGCCCCATTTGGTCAGACCCCCCCCCTGTAAGTGTGTGTATGTAAAAAATACAGATATCAAGGTTAGGATTTTATTTTGCAACATGTATTTATAAACAGAAGTAAAAATGTTGTCAGATTTTCAAAATTTTTAAATTTAAGAATGTTCATAAATATTCTTTAGGCTAACTGTGAAAGTCAAGGTAAACTATGGAGGATGCTAAGTGATGTAATTTAATGTCCATCAGAGGAAAAAATGCATCACTGAAGAAAAGTTTTCATTTTGTCTTTTTATAGATATATGTATCTCAAAGTGTATAAAGGTATTCTCTATAAAGTTTTGCAGTTATTATTTTTAACACATTTTCCTTTAGGATATAACTGATATTAGCTCTTTGCGGATTCTTTTTCTTTATGTGTGAATTGGAAAACATATTATGTTGAAACAC